CGCGCGCCTGTAATTCCGACTCCTCGGAAGGCTGAGGCGGAAAGGATCGCCGGAGCCCAGCAGGTAGAGGATACGGTGGCCGGGAGCGGCCACTGCACTCCAGTCTGGGCGACAGAGTGAGACTCCAACTCAAAAAAAAAAGCCACTTAACTTGGTGGACTCGGTGGCTCAGCCTGTAATCCCACGCTTTGGGAGGCCGAAGTGAATGGATTGTCTGAGCCCACGGGTTCGAGACCCACCTGGGAAACTTGACGAGACCTCCTCTCTACAATCAATCAAAAATTAGCTGGGTGTGGTAGCGCACGCCTGTAGTTCCGGCTACCTGGAAGGCTGAGATGGAAGGCATGCCAGAGCCCAGCAGGTCGAGGCTGCAGTGGCCGGAAGTGCCCACTGCACTCCAGTCTGGGCGACAGAGTGAGACTCCAACTCAAAAAAAAAAAAAAAAATCTGTAAAGTCTCCCCTCCCTGCCTGCTCTTAGTTCTATGGAGTCTCCATCTGAACCGTTTCCTCCTCCAGGCAGCCCAATGTCAGTGGGTGACCCCTCTGGGTGGCCAGTCCTGCGCTTCCTGCGGTTGGCTGTGGCAATGTCCTTCTCGGTCTCAGCCATTTCCACAGATGACACAAAGAACCACCTGCTCATGAAAGAGAAGATGATGCAACTAGGGGGGACACTGGTGCTGAACCCCCAGGAGCAGCAGGCCAACGAGAAGCTCATGGCCTTCAAAACCGCCGAGATGACGGAGGCCATGAAGACCCTGATCTTTCCTCCCAGCATGCACTTTTTCCAGGCAAAGCATCTCATCGAAAGGAGTCAAGTGTTTAACATCCTAAGGATAATGCCAAAAGGTTTGGAGAAGATTGGTGTGGGGTGTTCTGGGAAGGCAGGGGGAATGATGCTTGGAGCTGTTACTGGTTTGGTTTTGTTTTTTTGAGTTGCAGTCTCACTCTGTCACCCAGGCTGGAGGGCAGCGACGTGCTCCCAGCCACCGCAGCCTCGACCTGCTGGGCTCAGGCGATCCTTCCACCTCAGTCTTGCAAGTAGCTGGAACTACAGGCATGCACCACCATGCCCAGCTAATTTTTCTTGATTTATTGTAGAGACAAGGTCTCGCCAAGTTGTCCAGGCTGGTCTTGAACCCTTGAGCTCAGGCAATCCTCTCACCTCCGTCTCTAAACGTGTTGGGATTACAGGCTTGAGCCCACCACGCCTGACCAGCTGTTACTGTTACTAAAACTGATGTTATTCCTTTTTTTTAAGTCTGTCGCTCAGGCTGGAATGCAGTGGCACGCTCCCGGCCACCGCAGCCTCAACCTGCTGGGCTCCGGCGATCCTTCCGCCTCAGCCTTCCAAGTAGCTGGAACTACAAGAATGCGCTACCATGCCCGGCTAATTTTTTGATTTATTGTAGAAATGAGGTCTCACCAAGTTGCCCAGGCAGGTCTCAAACCCGCAGGCTCAGGCAATCCACTCGCTTCAGCCTCCCAAGGCACGGGATTACAGGCTGAACCACCAAGTCCAGCTGGAAGCCCATTCTTAAATTAGAGCCAAGACAGCAGATGTCATCCAGGGAGACAAACGCATGCAGTGGGTGAGTGGGTTTTGGAGCTGGAAAGAAGAAGGTACAAGAAAGTACATCAGGCCAGGCTCGGTAACTCAGCCTGTAATCCCAGCACTTTGGGAGACTGTGGCGAGTGGATTAGCTGAGTCCGCGGGTTCGAGACCAGCCCGGGCAGCTTGGCGAGACCTCGTCTCTACAATAAATAAAAAATTAGCCAGGTGTGGTGGTGCACACCTGTAGTTCTGGCTACTTGAAAGGCTCAAGCGGAAGGATCGCCTGAGCCCAGCAGGTTGAATCTGGGGTGGCCGGGAGCTTGCCACTGCCCTCCAGCCTGGGCGATGGAGTGAGACTCCAACTTAAAAAAAAAAAGACGGTATATCATGTTCAGTTCTGAGCAACATGGTGGGTGGAAGTTCTCAGGCTTCTATTTATGCGACCACCCGGTCCTCACAGCAGCCAAGCCCTGTGTTTGAGCTTCAGCCCTTTGTCTGGTCCATTCTTCCCTCTCCAGGGGCTGCCTTACACCTGCATGACTTTGGTATTGTGAGCACGGACTGGCTGGTGAAGAATGTCACCTACAGGCCCCACTGCCACATCTGTTTCACCCCGAGAGGGACCATGCAGTTCAGGTTTGCCCGGCCGACTCCTCCCACCCCTAAGGCACGAGAATGTTCCAAGTGGATTTTGCTGGAGGACTATCGGAAGCAGGTGCCGAATGCCACCGAGTTTGACGAGAGGTGAGTGGTAGTTCAGAAAGCATGCGTCACAGGCTTGCGTGGGGTGGGCAGTGGGTAGGTGTGTCTCTCTTGGACAAACCCAAAAGTCAAAATCTGATCTTAAAAAGGATTCAACAGCCCAGGCACGACGGCTAATGACCGTAGTCTCAGCACTTTGGGAGGCCAAGGCAGGAAGATCATTTGAGGCCAGGAGTTCGAGACCAGCCTGGGCAATATAGCGAGACCCCCATTTCTTTTTCTTTTTTTCTTTTTTGAGTTGGAGTCTCACTCTGTCGCCCAGACTGGAGTGCAGGGGCCGC